CGCATATCATGATTACCATGTTAGGGCATCTCATTTACTTTCGCCGCCTGTTCGCGTCACGTAATACCGAATTCAGTATATGTGAAGCTAGCGAAACGGCCGCGAGCGCATCATGAGCGCGGCATGTAGTTATTTGTTACGTGGCACGCATCTCAAGAATTGTCAATAATTGCACCAGTCACATAGCTTCGTCATTCATTCACGTCCCGTAATACTAAATTTGGTATATGTGAAGCTAGCGAAACAGCCGCGAGCGCATCATGAGTTTGGCATGTAGTCATGTTGTTACATGACACGCATGTCATCATTATTATGCTTGGACGTGTAATTTACCTTTGTCGTCCGTTCGCGTCACATAATGCCAAATTTGGTAAGTGAAGCTGGCGAAACGGCCGTGAGCGCATCATGAGCACGGCATGTAGTCATACTTTCACATGACACGCATCTCAGAATTACAATATTAGAGAGTTTTAGTACTGCGGAATGGTGCTACGTACGCATCACGCAAGCGCCTTGCGTTACGTGGCGTCGTTTGCCACTAATCGGCTTTTAGTACGCCGTAGTACCCGCGTACGTAACGAGCGTGAAGCGTGTGGCGCCATCTGGTAGATCAAAATAGAAGCACGTGTTGTTGACAGCCAATGTGAGCCAATCCAAGTGTTATAGCCAGATTATGACCATATGTTAAGGCACAGAGCCGGTCGGTGCTTGCCTTCGATGCCGCCATTTTGCAAAACGAAGTCTCGCGCTGTCGCGAACTTGTTCGAGAGCGGCGCGATCAGCTCATACGTACGCACGCACGCATCTCATGCGTGCGTACGTAGCGGCTGCGTACGTAACGTGATACGTGCGCGTTGCGGTCTGCGCATGCGCACTACGCAGAACATGGCGTCCTTACGTACGCAACGCCGCCACGTACGCAGTACTAAAATTCTCTAATAATTGCACCAGTCACATACTTTCGCGATTCATTCGTATCCCGTAATACTTGATTTGGTATATGTCAACCTAGCGAAATGGCCATGAGCGCATCATGAGTGAGGCATGTATTCATGACTCCTAACTTACATGACATGCATGTCATAATTTTCATGTTAAGTTTTACCAATTGTGTTTTCCATGCAGTCATGTCATACCACACACGTTTTGAACCATGTCATGTAAACAAAACCACCGCAAGAGCAGCAAGACCATAAAATGTAAATCATGACATTCATGACATATATCATGATTTTATAGTTACGACTAGTCCGTTATGCTCGTCGTAAAGTCATGTTATTCCATACCAATTTTGGTACCTATACCACTATCGACACGACCAGGACAGCTAAATGTCGTTGGAGGCTAGATAGATAGATAGATAGATAGATAGATAGATAGATAGATAGATAGATAGATAGATAGATAGATAGAGAGATAGATAGATAGATAGATAGATAGATAGATAGATAGATAGATAGATAGATAGATAGATAGATAGATAGATAGATAGATAGATAGATAGATACGCTCAAAGTTGCTGAAGTTTGCTAAGAAATGCTTTGCATTTAATAGACATCAAAATAAAAGAGTCTCAGACTGCTTCTCCATAAGCTTATTACATTTTCTTTACTTGATAGCCCCTCTCGTTTCACCTATTAGCTATAAAATTAAGAATTAAATGCCTTAGAGTGAGAGAGCTCGTTTCGCCGGAATTCTGGCGTCGGTTTGATAGATGGCGTCGATGCTTGTGAGAAAAATTATCTTCTGCGTGATCGAAAATTAACAAAGATTCAAACAAAATAAATAACAAAAAAGTGTGGATCTGAACGGGGATCGAACCCAGGTCGTTTGCATGGCAAGCGGCTGTTCAACTACACATGTCTGCTTTTGAATACAGTGGAAATATCTTCCTTTGGTTTGAAACGCAGTCAAAGGAACTTCCTTGCTTTACAAACACGCGCGTTCTGTATACATGCTCCGCAATTCAACATGAGGTACTGCAGTACTATTGCGTGCTGCAAGTTTACGTTGTCATCGGGGGTCTGAACACGTGAATATGAAGATGACTTTATGGATTGAAGCTGGTCATCCACTTCAAAAGGCACGCACGTTACTGCGCCTATTCCCTGAAGGCGATGCAATGGCTATAGTTGAAAGATTTCATGAACTAGGTGTACAAAGTACGTAATAGGGACGATATCGCGTTCAGTTCTTTACGGCGAAGCTTAAGGATCCCCCAGTTTTAGTCTTTAATAGCGGAATTCTTGGAACCTTGCGTGCTTTGTGATTTCGATGCACACAGCACCATCTGGGCGACTTTCGCAGCAATGTGCAAGCCGTTTTTTTAGAATTTTCTGTATTATTCTGGTGTACATATATTCATTCAGATAGAGGCTGTACTTTATAGACCTGCCAAGAAATGTTATTATTCTAAGTTTTTTATTGTTGTTTTCTCAATGCTTCCTCGCGAGTTAATATTAGACGTTAATAATTATGCTTACTAGAGTGACTGCTCTCCGGTCTTTCTGCACACATCAAAAGGAAAAAAAAATTCACCATGAGCGTTTAAGTAGAAAGTTGACATAGCCAGCGGTTGCCTGAAGTAATATTCACAAAGAATGTGTTGAAGACTTGTTTGGAGCACACCTTCAATTAGTTTTCTTGCAGCGCACGTGGAAGACTGAATCTAATTTATGGGCACACATGAACACGCAGAGCAGTAGCTTCCAACAACGCTTCGACTTCCGTAAAATTAAAACATTCGTTGAGCTCAGCTTTCTATGTTTCTGTATGCCTCTAGTTCTTGTCTATCCTTTGCGTGCACGACAAGAAAATTTACTGAAGGTTGGGAGAGGTTCCAGTCTCTTGCAATATTTAGTACTATCCGCTGGACTCAAACGTTTTCAGCTTGTGAAAAAATTTTTTTTTTTGCGAGGTATCGGCTTGCGAGGAAGTGGGTATGCGTCACTGTTATTAGCTGAACAAAAAGCAAGCGTTTTTAATGGGTTGGATAATTGGAACACCCACTCGTTACACTATTCGCATGGGGCAATGAATGCCTGTTCTTTCGCGGTTTTAAAACTCTTTATATGTCGTATTAACGCGATTGCTTTTCCGACATCAAGCCTGCCTAAGGCAAGTTTGCCAACAAGTCCCAAGCACCGGCGTGGCTCAATGGTAGAATACTTGGCTTGCACCTAGCGGACCCGGGTCAGAGCCTCACTGTGTCATTGGTACTACGTTCTTTTTTTAAAGTTTTGGCGCGGTGTGGTTACGGACACTACGTAACCTCGTGCAGCAGCGGACAACTACGGCGTTGCGCGAGACTCGAGTTGTGACCCCATAAGAGCTTTCGCTGTAAAAAAAACAACAATCTTGCTGATGACACGCTCAAGCAGGCGCGTAATCTTTTTTTTTCTCGTTATGACACATTCTACACTAGACAAATTACAATACGTTTCAGCAGCTAGTCAACTGCACAATTGGATTGACTATGAGCAGTCAAAGCGAATAGATTTTTTTTATTGTAGGCCTGATACTCATCGAGAAATCTTTAATACTTCTGTAGTTCTAAACATATTGAAGCTGTGAACTTAACGTGTATATTGTTACGGTAAATACACAGTTGTGATTACAGCTGGCTAGTTGAGGAGCGCTGCCTGCCGATACGGTCAGCTCGTACCAGTGATCTTGCATCGTCCTCGTGTTCATTTTCTTGATCGCTATGCCACTGACACATGGCGATATTTACCCATGCAATATGTATTGGCAAACACTTAAAAAATGAGCTCGCCAGTTTCAAATTCATCTTTGATTAGCTAAATGCGGTATATACTCAAGGCGCAACTAAGAGCTCACTTTAGCAAATATATCATTGCGAAACGCGTTCTGAGAACATGTACTTCGCATCTCAACAAAAGGTGACAAATGAGGTTTATAGGGTTCGTAGAATCACTAGCAAGATATTGTTGTTCTATTCCTTCATTTCCCGCAACTAGAGTGGAGCACTTTCTAAGTGTTTACACGTAAGAATCTATGGGAGGGAGATATAGGATATCTAGACGCGGAAACAATGTCAATCATGGTGGTTGCAGTGTGTCGTACACTGCGAGTTTCTTGCAACTCTGTGTGTGTGTATAATTTGGTGTTATGTTAACAATCGTTATATATAATTACTAGGCTATACCTCTTTAAAGCTGCGATCAAATCTTCATCTTACATCTAAACTCTTGTAATTGTTTTCAAGATTCGTTTTTTCAATTGTTTTCTTCTAAAGAACGTCGAACAGAGTAGACTGCTAACTGCGTACTAAGTAAACTATTTAAATACTGTTTTCACATATATTTTTCTATCAGAATCATCAAATGTCACTCCACGTTGTACATAATACAGTAAAAGCTTTTTATTTTCACCCTCTTTAATAAGAAATTCCGATGAGTCGGACCTACGGCTTAGACCATCATAGATATAGTTTATGAGCGTCAATTGAGTCACATCTTGTCACAACAAGGTTCCCCATGACCATCCGGGTATGCCAACGATGAAGCGCGACTCATGTGCAGAAAAATAACGAAAGTGACTGTTACAGCCAATTAGAAACAAGAGTGGCGATCTGCATTGCCACTGTCTTTATTCAGGACGTTACCTTAAACAAAAAAAGGAAATGATCCTTCTCTTTTTAGAAATGGGTATAACGCAAAAATTACACGTGGCTATACAGAAAAATTTGTTCGTATAATGTGCATTGTTTTCCCACAAAGGGAAAGGAATGATTGCTACAGCGACGAATTGCCATGTCACGCGAAAAACGGCCAGCAGCTCGAAATGAACATTCGAAACTTGCTGCGCGCACCTCAAGAAGAAAGCAAGCACCAAATGAACATACACAGCACAAGAACTGGCAAGCAACTGTCAAAGCTCGACAATTAAAGCACGCTATTCCAATTGTGCTCCACCTTTCGGAAAGTGGGGCACACATTAATACTTCAGCTAACATTGAAAATGATTCCACACAGTTATTCAAATTGCTACTAGCATAGCCACTGCGAGTTGAATAGGACTTGCATTAGGCTAGTTTTTTATTTCAAAAGCAAACTCAGGAGATCGCCGGAATCAATAGGTCGTGTTACATGCAGCATAGCTGTATAGAAAGCACCTCAGCGATCCAAATTGATACAGCACCTCCTCCGACCAGGACATCCAGCTTGAGTATTTTCAAAGTCACATTTCCGTTCACAAGTTCCTCCAACCATGGTGCACGTATCACGTTTTCCTGCACACATAGTAATCTGAATAATTATTATCCACTAACAAGACAAAATACTCCCTGTGTATATCCTTCATTTCAAAAAGTGACGGCGTATAAAAGTTATGACAGATTACCTCATTTACTTACCGTTATATTCCTTCAGCTTAAGTAACGAGCGTCAACACGCAGACTAATTGTAATAAATCACGTCATTACTGTTTGCAGTTGCTGCAATAAATAGTGTATGAACACTCTCAGTGGCCTAATGTCCACGTCATCACCGTGTCTTTCCGCATGTATATTGTTATGTATTAAGGTGCAAACACATACAGGGTGTTGGTTTAGGCAGCAAACCAGGTGTTTTTTTAAAAAATGGCAGTCACGCCCACATCGTATTCTTTTATGAACTCTACTCCGAGGCATATTTTGCAACATCTGAAGTTAAATCTGAACGAGTACTTAACAAAAACTAGTTTTCTTATTTTTATATTGTGTTAAAGGCTATTGTTCAAGTAGAAGAGTTGTAGGGTGTGCCATCATATGGCACACCCATTTGTTTAAAAATAGCAAAAAGCACACCTTATTTTGGATATTTATTATCGAAACTCGTGCTCGACCTCATGCTGTGATATGAAAGTGGGTGACCGAACGAAAATCGGCACTTGCCTAAAATACGCTCTCTACTTGTGACAGATACAAAGCTGTGCTTATATAAACCCCCGCATGCGCTTTTTACTAGTAGAGACCAGATTTAGGCAAATGGCTACTTTCAACCTCTCGCCACGCTTTGATATCCCGCATATTTTAGAAGAAACGAACAGAATCATTTCGAAGATAATTGGTTCGCACACCACGGAATAGAGTGAATTTTCGTCTCTTTTACTTGCTATAAATTTAGACATAATAATTACAGTCTATTCGGGAAATCAAAAGTAAGGTGTCGTGCGTTTTCCGTGTCCGAATTGCCTACCGACTTTATTAGATGTGTTTATTACAGAAAACTTACCCCTTGGACAACTGTTCTACTTAAAGGACTTTTGCAGTATTTTTACCATGCCTCTAAATGCCCAGTTAGGCGTTTTTGCTTAAATGTTTATGACCACCTGCTAACGTTTATTTGGAAAGTTCCACCTATATGAACACTATACGCTTGACTTTCAAGCCAAGCTTGATTTCGTTAATAATGTTTTCTTGCAACAGTAATTGCGCTGCACTCTATAGAGTGCTGCTTAGCCCTCTCGTTCAAGCAACTCTCTAAAAAAACCGCCAAAATTTGTTTGATTAGACGCACAATTTAACAGGAGCCGCCTCACTCACATGGTTGATTTGCCATGAGCACCAAAGAATCATAGCTGCTTCTGAAGAAGAAATGACAAAAAAGGTGCGCACGAAACTACATTCCCTATTAAAAAAGAACGGTTGATTTTATGCCTTGACAAGAATTTCTAAAGTCGTTGCTGGAGAGCGCTATACTATCCCAGCGTTGTTTATAATATCGGATGTTCTGAAGTACCACTACGGTCTAATTACCTATGACGACATGGAGCTTTTCTTCTCTGTGTACAAGGTAAGTGCCAGTTACAGAAGTACAACTATGAAGTGGATATACTTGGAAGTATTAGTGGTTAATTTGCTTTGGTTTCACAATTTTGTCAGTGAATGTTTGACTATTTCAAGCGTGTTGTTTGCGCAAATTTCTGTAAACGTTCAGTTCGATCGTGCGAAATGTGTGTGGAAAAGATAGGACATCTTGCCTGATAAGTTCAAATACTGTCGTTAACTATAAGATTATTCGAGTACATAACAGAGTTCCTAACGTAGATGGCCGAGTAAATTGTACAAACTAACTAGATGCTTCTCTTGCATTTATTGTCTGCGTGTTGTTGTATGCCTTAATTTAATCATGCGGAACAGGCAAAATAGAGCTTATGTTTAACAGTACTTCAGCTTCCAAGCGTTTTTCTTTTGCTTTCTTCAGCATATGCGACGCTCAAGGAAGTGGCAAAGGCTATTTATATTATATATTCGCAGTGTGCTTGTTGAATAAAGCCAATTTATCGCCATAAACACAGCGGTGTTGTGGGGCATAAGCGTGGCTATGTTCAATTGCTGTCAGCTTTGTGCTGTCATAATGACATCTTGTTTGGGAAACAATGCCGTGTGCACACAATAGAAGGTAAAGTAAAGGTAAGAAGACAAATAATCGGGAACTCACAACTCAGTTTATTGAAGGAACTACATGAAGTATGAATATCAAGGTAAATCAAGAGTATGTGTGCGTAAAAAATTATCAAACAAGGAAGAAAATGAAGGGAAAGCAAAACAAGTTCAAAACAAAACACACCATGACAGTAATTTTTACATAAGTGGTACCTATAGACTGCAGATGAGTGTGAAGTTATTTATGGCTAAAAAAATGAGCTCGTTCTCAGTTTGTAAATCGATGGTCTGCTTACGCATTTTTTGGCACGCCTTCTGGTATGAAATGATTTCGCTATTTTCCAAGTTAGGTGCTCTTTGCGATAAATCAAAATGTTAATGAAACAGTAAACAGGATATTATTGGCAGTTCCTGCATTGCATGGTGATGTGGGAGTGATTGCTGTTGTCCAAAGTTTTCATATAAGCACTAAGTAGAGTGGTAATGCCCCGGCCTAATGGGGATAACTAGCGGGACTAAATTATTTCAGAAGAGGGAGACAGAAGAATTACAAAAATAACACAATAAATTGTGAAATGTGCATGTGAATCTGGTAAAAGTATTGAATTGATGGTGGCAGGTAAGTTAGAAATGTATATGAGAATTGTTATATAATTAGATCCTTCCGACAAGGCGTCATTGTTTCAAATGTTTGGTATTTAAAGAAAGTGTAAGATGCCTACATTCACGGCGTTGGAGGCTCAGAATGCAGTTAGAGACACACAACGCATCTTTTAATGCCTGTAAAATCCGGCCTCCAGCCATCACATGCCACGAACCATTATTAACTTCATCTGTAGAGGCTGTTGAATGCATCTTACGCAGGTTGCAGCAAACTGATGTTCCTTTGCAGCCACTTCGAAACGGTGTAATGCGTTTTGCAGGGCAGTGTGTAGGTGCTACGCAGCCATATGAACGAATACATGGGGGTCTCCTAGGTGAAAATCTTGCTGCAAAAACACATGTTTTACATAGATGATTAGAATCGAAACGGTTATTGCAATTCTCACAATGAGAAAAAAAAAACAAAAACTGGAACATGCCAGAACGTAAATGGCCATTTATAAAACAAACAGTTTCTGAGACTGTTTGTGGGCCTAGTTGGTACTTGCTTATTGACATACTTTAGCTACCTGTCTTTGTGGTTGTGTGTTTCTTTACTCTGTCTTTGTGTTATTTCGCGGCTAATGTATTCCATTGAGCACTTCAAGAAAAAGAAAGTTGGTATTCATGAAAACGCCTTGCTCAAAAACTGTATAGATGCTACCGACAAAGCAGCGCGCGAGAAGCACAACGAGTGAATGTTTTAAAGTGGCTCTTCGATTAGTAATAGTTCAAAAATAGTTCACCATTGTCCCTATCATGAACAGTATGAAGAACGTTGCTTCACATCGGCGCCGTATAAGTCTGTTTTTTATGTTATAACTTGGCACTATCATCGGATATTTAGCAATTCCTAGTGAATTTAAAGGCCCGTTCCACAAGTACTAAGCTGCCTCCTAAAATAGTTTTCTTGTTTATATGGTTGACGCAGTGCTTCAATGGTATCTACTTCTTATAGGCCATATATAGGCCTTGGCCACAATGTATATCTAGTATAAGCGTGATCAAAGCTTTCCTTATTCTGACTAGTACGGGTGGTCTCACAGCTTCTATAGCAGTGAACAGCCTACCAAGAACCGTCTTTGCCACAATTGTGTCATGATCTTGCGATTATGTGTGGTCCTTGTGCCTATAAGCAGCATAACAGTAGTGCCAAGTTAGATGTATTTCACGACTTCATATCCGTATCACTCACACACTTTGCCAGAATAGCAGGAATGCGAAGATGGCAAATAGCGACGAAAAAAGATAGCCATTCCAATGCCTATTGCATTTTCTATGCTGCAGCCTTGAAGAAGACAAGTACTTATCAGAACATTGGCTCCAGCCTACACTCGTCATCAAAATGTTTTAAACACATCATACAGTATATATAAATCGTTGCCAATAACCACTACAATTATTGATCTGTGCTAGAATTTGGGCCTTAATACGACAGGCTACTGGAAGTCGAATTATCCGGCTTACGCTGTCTCAGCGGTGTGTTTCACCCAGGCCTTAACTCATAGCTTCTTTTATGACACTGCTCTGAAACAGTTATCCTCTCCATCGTCTTTCGTCACTGATAGCACAGCGTGCGACTCATGGCTTTGGGATAAGTATTCATCTGAATGATGTGTAGGTGAGCATATTCAGCAGTATTGGTAATAAATAGATGAGAAAGATGATGGGGCTGTAGGAAGCACGAAAACGTATCAACGCTGTTGAAATGTCCTTATGCTGTATCAGGCTATGTGAGCAAAGAAACGTGTGAGAGAACGTGAGCAGAGGTGAAAACACGTAGTATAAGTAAAGCAAGAGGGATATACTGTGAGAAAAGAAGATAACTTGAATTTTCTGCCTCCTTACTGTACGTTGTGATGGCATAGAGCTTCAATCCTCTAATAGAGTACTAAGCACTCTAAATCGTTAATCACTTTTTCTTAACACACGACTCTTCTTATAGAAGCACGTCCACTCTAATTGCATATAATTATACTTCCTTCAGAAAGTCCTGTGACGCTCAAGATAGAGCAAGAGATTTTTTGAAGAGTCAAGTTAAGGTAACATGTCGGGGTTCACACAAAGAGATAACACATTCTTTCTTAGAGAGCAGGGTGCAAGAGTGGAGGCCTGTCGAGATTTACGGCGAATGCTATTCCAGGCTCCTCTTTGTGTGTAAAACAATATCCTATTATTCTAGCAAGGGACACATGATGAAACGGTGTTCTACTCGGGAAGACCCACCCAGCACGTTCTTGTGCGAGCATGCCCAGATGGTGAACACCAGGGGTATTCTGGAGAGCGTCAGTATGTCTAGGACACGTGAATAACTGTTCCAGAAGCCATCTTTTTCTCTATTCACAACCATTGTTCAACCAGCCCAGCGTGAAAATACTTTACTGGCGTCACCAATTTTCCATTGTATTTGTACACGCCTTTACTTTACCAAACATCACCCTTTTCAAACATTTTTTTTTAGCTCGCGGTCTATATCACCACAGATGTTGTCATTTTGCTTGTGTGAATACTTGTTTCCACTTGCGATATGCATGCAGGGTCAGTTTCTAAAGTACACGCAGAAGTCTTACAGAAAACATCTTTTAGTAAAACAAATGAGCGAGATATCTCACCAAACGTGAGCATTTACCGTTGGCGTTCAGTGCCATCAGCATAAACAAAAGCTCGTCATATGTTGTCCCATCGTGACCCGAACATTGAGGATGATATTTGGATGCTCACTACACAGGACGCTGACTCCCAGAAAACTTTTTGCGTTTGATTAGCATTTCAGTGCCTTAAATATCATTTTATTGTGATTGCACTTGTATGAATATTTTCGGCAGGATTTGGCCGTCATTATTAACGTCGCCGTCATTCCCCGTATATATATAGGTATGTATATATGGCTTTCGTCTTCAAGTCAAATCAGGCGAATGTAAAATGACCCTTTCGAGTTTTTCGAAAACTTTTGAACCCATTTACTGACTTTTAACTGCGAACGTTGATTTCAGCAAAATGGACCCAGACATGCTGCCACTATCTAGGTGCATCTAGAATCTTTTTTTTCTTATTCTTGCCAAGCCCCTCTAGTGTGGTCCATTCAGGAGTACGACGTCATGTGGTATCAGTGCCCTGTTATCGCGTCATGCCCACGTGTTCAGCAGCAAGTTGCCGGAAAAAGCGTCAGTGATATGAACTGTATGAAAAAGATGAAAGCGCAGTTCTTGCTTTCCCAACCAAAGCTTCATGAAAAACCAGTTTGTGTGCGACAGAAAACTATATTGTTACAGAACGCTAGATGCGCCAACTCTTGAGACATGTGGTACAAGAGTTCCCGCAGTCTGTGGAGAACTTACTCGACGATATTTTCCTCCTGTATGTCGGCGAAAACTAGGAGATGCACCTTAAGCCATAGGCACGTCGGGCTAGCTCACAATATCTATCTATCTATCTATCTATCTATCTATCTATCTATCTATCTATCTATCTATCTATCTATCTATCTATCTATCTATCTATCTATCTATCTATCTATCTATCTATCTATCTATCTATCTATCTATCTATCTATCTATCTATCTATCTATTTAGCTAGCTAGCTAGCTAGCTATCCCCATATAGCTTGTAATATAGCTAAATTTGCATAGCAGGGCATCAATATATGATGAACATAAATTTATGGTGACGGCATAAATGACACAAAAGGCCTGTCGTGCACGAGATGAAATCCACGTCAGCAATGACGTGTGAGACATACCTGCATACTAGAGTTAACGTTAAAAAGTATGCACAACAGGGGGTTTACACTCTCAATCAACGTGGTAAGATTGAAGATATGTATTGAATACTGTGACATATCCAACGCACTGAGAGAACAGATATTATCAGTACAAAATTGATTTATCACAGCACAGCGATGTCCGACTCTCGGACTAAATAAAAAAGGTTTTTGATCTGGGGAGGGTATTACAACGCCTTATTGCCACGCCAGGACAGGAGGCATCCATACATCAGTTCTGATAGGCATTCACTATTTCCAACTGCGTTACTGCACATCTTATAAGAGTATCGATAGATGGTAGACCCCTTATCGCCTCTATAACGAAGTGGTCTATCTATATAGAGCCGCATCTTTACTAGAATAGAGACTTTAAGTAAAGCAGTTATATTGATCGCTTAATATTTGAAATATGTGAATAGGTCACATGGGTGTAGCGCAGTGCTTCCACCAAATACCCGAACGACAATTTGAGATGACAGAAAAGCGGCTGATCGTAGACTACTGGAACGATGAATTCATAGAGAACACATCAGTGAAGCTGAAACTGGAGTACCGAAAAGTGCATGCCTTCGAAGGCACTTACGCGATAATTGATAACGATGGGGAGAGGAATGCTTCGAAGTGAAGCAAATTGTTGCCTGATAACAGCCCTTGCTCTTTCCAACATCATAGTGCAAGAGAAACTGTGTCGTCGTTTGTGTGTCTCAGAAGAACCTAGCACTCTTGCTTTTTGGTGCTTCGGTTTAGATCACACCTACATGTGAAATGCCCCTGATTTCAACACTCCCCTAAAATTACCCGTGGCCGCTTTTCGGAAATCTCAAGCGGCATTCGGTAGAGTAGAAAACAGTAGCGCATTGTATTTCGGCTCTACTCTTCTTGGCCAGTCGCCCACGCTTGGCGACTAGCCGAAAACCACGTAATAAAAGAAGTTTACTTTTGCTACCCTATATATTTTAAAACAATGAAGATGATGGCTAAACCTGACAGATTAGCAATAATTAGTAAAAACTACGGTTAAAAAAATCAAGCGGATAATTTGAACTAACGAATAAAGTAATACTCGCAGAAAGCACTTACACTTTATTAAACCCAAATGTGTGTTTCCATTTTGTAAAAAAGATACTCATTCTCATTTCTGTGGTTAGTGCCATATTTAGTGTCGCCCGGTATCTGCAGATGGCCACAGTCACATAAACCTAATGCGGAAGGTATTGAAAACATGTCGTACTTCAGCTAGTTCAAAAATATTTAGATGGATCTTCTAAAAAATTGGCAGATCCTTGTGCAGTGGAAATC